ATTGTTAGCTATTTACAAATTATAATTATAGTTCAACTAATCCAACAAATAGATATTCATGCGTCGTTATAAATATATACATATTTACATGTTTCAGTTTAATCGGTTATAAATCAAACCATATCCAAATCTTATGGTTTTTATAAAATCACATCCATTCGGTTTGTATGGTATATACCAAAAATAACCATATTATCGATTGTTAATATCTTATAAAAAATATAAAATTTAAAAAGAACTAAGATATTTAAATCATTGATAACAAAAATTTTCAATGTGAAAAATTTAATAAGTTTATAATTTATAAATGCTCTTGAAAATTTATTGAAAATTTTGAAATTAAAATATTTATCTAATCTTATATGGTATATAGTTTAATCTGTATATATATTTGTTTTATTATTGAATGATACTTTTTACTTATATGGTTTGAAAATCATGTATATCTTTTTATAATAAAAATGTTAAACTATTGATCATTAATTTTTAACATAATAATTTTAATAGTTTAGTTATTTATTCTCGTTTTTTAAAATTCAAAATATAACCTATACGAAAAAATCTAAAGTTTAATTTTATAGCTAATTTGACTGTTTAATTTATTTTAATAATATAAAATTAAAGAAAAATGATGGAGGATATATAAACTGTTATCAAATATTTATTATTAGAATCATTAAGTGTCATATATATATATATATATATTAGTCATTTATGGTAATTCCATAGGTTTTATTTATGGAAAGAAAATAAAATAGTAATTATATCTAGGGGAACAATCATTAAGTGTCATATATATATATATTAGTCATTTATGGTAATTCCGTATGTTTTATGTATGGAAAGAAAATAATAGTAATTATATCTAGGGGAACAATCATAAATGGTTCTATCCTAAATATTATATCATATCATATAATTTGACCAACGAATGTATCTAGCGACATATAAAAATTGAATGTGGACCTACTTATTTTTCAATTGAATGTAATTGACTACCTAATTGAGTGACACCTAAGCATGGGGTCTTTTTTAATTATTACAAAATTGAGGTTACAATTTTTTAAATGTTTCTCCTTTAATATATAAGAGATTTTTCTTAAACAAATCTTAAATGAGCATGCATATAAATGGGTTTAATGGGTGTTTCTAAAATAAACGAGGTTGAACGGGCATATATGTAAATGACCCAAAATTCATAAGGTTTAAATGGATAGAGGTCTAAACGGACATAGCCCACCCATATTAACATCCTTAATCATGATTGTTGCCGAAGGAACTTCTAGGGAGCCGTCAAGGTAGCATGTTAAATCATAAGCAATCAAAGAATGCATGGACTTGCTACTCCACACCAAATGGTTGGTGCTTGTAAGTTTAGCCACCTTTGTCATGTTAACACTTAGAAGTGTTTTGTTGTTGATAACGATGGCTTCATTTCTTGATACAGGGGAAGAATAACCCATTTTTGTATAGGCCATTTTTTAAGAAGTAGCAAAGAAAAATTTGTATTTTTAGGTAAGGTGGCTATGATACGATATAGGTCAAATGAATCTATACTATTAAAAGTAAAGACATCCTTGAAAAATCGACTGATGGAAGTTGTGTGCACCTTTCAAAAATAGCATTTTGGTAATTTATTTTTCTCTTACATCTATATATATATATCGAATGTTACAAATCATATCACATTAACCATATACCCGATTTAATCTCTCTCTTCCCGTTAATTACTCTAACCATATTTCATTTTATGTTTCAGACATTTATTTTACCCGGGTTATACCAATATGATTTGTATGATATTATATGATTTGTAACATTTGATATCATATGATTTGTAACATTCGATATAGCAGCCATTGTCCTTTCGGTATATGTGATATGATTTGTATGATATGATATTATTTGTAACATTTGATATCATATGATTTGTAACATTTGCTTACTACCCTATGTGATATGATTTGAATGATATGATATGATCTGTATGATATGATTTTCCTTTCGGTATATGTGATATGATTTGTATGATATCATATTATTTGTAACATTTGATATCATATGATTTGTAATATTTGGTTACTACACTATAGATTACATAATTCAAATATATATCTAACCCATTTTTGTAGTATAGATATGGCCAGAGTAATTAAATATGTGATATGATTTGTTACATTCTATATAAAACATTGTCCTTTTGGTATATGCATAAATATACTAATATGATTTGTATGATATGATATGATTTGTAACATTTTATATCATACTGATATTCAACATTCGATATAGCAGCCATTGTCCTTTTGGTATATGTGATATGATTTGTATGATATGATATTACTTGTAACATTTGATATGATATGAAATTATTTGTAACGTTTGGTTACTACCCTATAGATTACATAATTGAAAATTCAAATATAGAACCCATTTTAGTAGTATAGATATGGCCAGAGTAATTAAATATATGGTATGATTTGGGAAATTCTATATAAAACATTGTCCTTTTGGTATATATTTGATCATTCTATAAGTGACATTTAATGACGAGATACGTTTTTGTAAGAAAATATTGCAAATACTAAAATGAATAAATTTCTTCATCTACAAGTTTATAGATTATTTGAGTTATAATATCGTTGTTAGTTACTTTTGGTGGATTCCATATATTTCTGTAATCTACTGTAATTAGATTAGTATTAACTGTTACAGTTCCTATAATTCAAAATATATTCCATAAATATTCCTTCTTCCTTGAATGAGATATTTTACAATATTATCTAAATATTCTTCCCTACATTTTCATAACCTAAAGGTTATCGTCCCTAGCTATTATAAATATAGCCTCTCTTAACCACTATATTCATCATTCATTCAAAAACCTAAATAAAAAATGGCGAATAATTTGCATTTGTCTTTCTTGAGCGATATCAAACCGAGGAAAAATGCATGTCGCATCCAAGTCAAGATCCTTCATACATGGAGACATTTCATGAAAGACATAGGCGAGACCATGGAACTGATCCTTTGTGATGCAAATGTAAGTATTGTTTTTCATATATTTATCGATATACATATTCATTTCATTTCGTAAAGGTTTAAACAAAATTAAGATGTTTTATTTATTTTTTATAGGGAGCTAAGATTCATGCCTCATGTAACAAGACATACATTCCTCAATTGACAAAACATATTCGTGTAGGAGTATGGAGGAACATTGATCGATTTAGTGTGTTTGCTGCTGGTGGAGCATACAGATCAACTCAACATAAGTATCGCATAGCTTTTAATGGCACCACCAAAATCACTGAATCTACACACC